TAATTGGCAGAGTACAAATACAAGGAAGTATTGTACTCTACTCTACTATCGGACAAAAGCTAAGTTTCAGGTCCAAAATGTTCGCAAAAAAGTTTGCTGCGAACTTAGCAGTCACAACAAGCTTGGCTTCAAGCTAGGCTAAAAGAAGTAGCAAACTTAGTTGAAAATCAGAACCTGAAATCATTTCTTATCAATAAACTGAGCAATGGCAAAATATGTAAACAAACTCAGCTACTTGTAATAATAATGATTGAGACTGTTCACTACTCAACTTCATATGAATTAATGGGTTCTGCTAAATACAAATCATCATTATGAGCTATTATACGAACACAGACAGTTTTCAAATTTAATACAGGAACAACATAGAGTCTTGCAGTTTCCACATACCTGCGGATGTGAGGAAGTTCAAAATTGTGGTGATAAAGGATTCGGATACTTTCAGCTTTGCGAGCCTCTCTGATGATTGCAAAATGCCCATGTACACACTCACAATCACCAGGACAGTGGCACACAGACACATGCAGAAACATTTCCACACACCCAAAACGTTTCTGGCCATCACGATCATATGCAACATATGAAGAATTACTGGCCAAATCACGTTCATACCTCTCACATGCATAGATCATACTACCCTTCAGAAGCCTGAAGTAAATGACAGTATTACGTATATTTAAATTTGAAGCCTGTAAGAGTTGGACAATTTCTCTGCGTTCACCATTAAACCTTTTGTAATCCCCAACACTATAACAGCCTCTCGCTATCTGTTCATTAATCTTGACTGAGCGCTTTCTTTTTAATATGAAGTCCTTCATTTCACCCTCCCGAACAGTACTCAGGAACTGGTGCTGACATACTACTTGCCAAAATGTATTACAGACTTGACTGTCAACTGAGGTTTTTCCATGAATGTTTCCCACAATCAGACCATTTAAGTTCTCCAAGGGGAAGCATGTAAATACCCACAAAGGCCCTAGGTGACGGACACAGTCAGCTAAGTGGAGGAGGAGATGAATATTAATACTGCAATATTTTAAGTGATAAAGACCTTCAAAATCTCTAACAAATTCTTTCAAAAGCCTCTCTGCCTTCAGAATATTTTGTGTGGATACTGTATCTGCTCCTAGGAGCGATATTGCAGCAACAAACTTCAAATAATGATAATAATACTCTAGAGGCATGTTATTTTTGTAAATTGGTATAGAGTAATACAAAAGCCAACACATCAATTGTGATGCTTTCCAACGGTGATAGTCTTCAAGAGATTCAGGCTTTCTATGAATAAACTTTGGAGCCTTGATGTTTTTCAATTTTGCGTCAAGTGCTGCCATAACTAATCGTAGAGAGAATTCCTTACCGTGACACTCTGGACTGAAGTGAAGCATCAAGAGCTTTTTCACAACTCCTGTCACTAAATGCATTGGATCTACTGCAGTTCCCTTTAAGAAATCAGGCATAAACACACGAAGGGCAGTTGGCCCTTTCACCCCATTAACACTTTGACCAGTTTGAAGCGCCCGCCTGGCAGCATTCTCAAACCGAGCAGTGGTACGCAGAGTGAGATGCTCTTGGTATGGGAAAACATGATATCTTTTATTTCTCCTACGCCGTTGCCCCTCCCCCTCCAATTCTTCTTCTCCCTCTCCCTCCCCACCAGCCTCACCTCCTTGGCCCTCTCCTGCTTCCACTACAACCTCCTCATTATCTTCATTTACAGTCATCATTAATGACCGCCCTTGTATTTCACAGACTGGACACCCATAGAAGCCACTGTGCCCAGCAACATTTAAAAAGTTACTTTTGGCTGGAGTATCACAAACCCCTGCAATTACCAGTGCTCTGACAGTTATGAAGTCTCTATTTAAATCCCCAACTCTCACTCGTACACCATGATCAAAAAGTCTCCTTAATTCTGGTAAGAATGATCTCATAAACATGTTAGCAGAGGGCTTTTGCGGACCAAACCATAAACCTGCCATCAAAACATTTTCCCTTTGAAATCTCATTTTGTACGGCAGTTCATTTATTATAAACATAAAAGGCCAAATACTGTAATTTTTTGATTTGAAAACTGGCACTCCATCTGTATACCAAGTTAGAGATATATTATTGTTATTGGTTAAAAAGCCTCCCTCACCCATATGCTCTTGATAGACACTGCCATCATAAATATCTGCAACACAATCAGGTCCAGGCTGTTCTCGAGCTAACCTTTGAGTAAGCGCATGATGAAACAAATTACGTTTGTACATCGACTGCAGCTGTGATGTTATTGAAAGCTGTACAAAATGAGACTTTCCTCTGTGAGCGTTGCACACATTACACATTGCACCTGCATTTTCCAAACCTGTCAGACAATTGGAGCAGTAGAAATTCTTCTTTGAACGAACTCTATTGCATGCAGTGAACCTCCGAAACTTGTAGTATGACAGACGGCGAAGTCCTTGACCAGGACAGTGGAAGTTAATAATCTGCAGCAAATCTGCGACACAGGAACCTGTAAGATTGTGATTGAGCATTAGACTTAAAACCATGGCATTACTTTCTCCATAGCTGATAGTAGAATTGTCATAGAGTGGGCTATTTGGATCCACTTGTAGATCATCAGGACCCTCATCATCATCATCATAAATCTCTTCCTCATCTTGATCATCTTCATGGCCATTGTCATCTTCCTGGTTGTGTGCATTTGGCACGGGCATATCGTCCTCTATCTCCTCGCCTCCCCCTTGGGGATGATAGTGCTCCTCTTGTCTAGGTGGTGTAGGGGGCCTAGGCTCGGGTTCGTTCTGGCCCCGTCTACGGCCAACTTCATTTTGCACCTCCCCCTCCCCCTGGACATTCACAACTATCTCTCCGACGTCTTGGTTTTCCACCAGCTCGTTGTTATTCCTGCAAATGCAACGCAATAATTTTAAAAAGGCGTCAATGAAGACGGACACACACAAAAGCAGGAGTTCCACTTAACCTCTCGTTTCCAGGGTAATTTGCGCCGGCAGCGGCAATGTCAGCATCCCCATTCTGTCGCCATCCTCGTCGAAGGTTCGCCCGCGCCGACTTTTTTAATTCGTCATAACCTCGATTTGTTTTACCCATACTGTGTTACGAACAACACGTAATATTATTGAGAATAGTTGGAAGAAAATGTGCGGGAGTCGCAGACGACGCGACTGTCAACAATAACTGAGACGAGGGGGAGTGGGAGGGGAGGAGGGGAGGAAGGGAGGGGGAGGAGAAATGGCTAAGAGACGTCCCGATGTCACTTCGCCATCTTGTTCACGTTATGACATTGATAATAAATAGAGGTTAAAAAAAGAGTTAAACACTTCTAAATGTTAAGAAGATATCATGTGCCGTCCCAAAATTTTAGTTTTTACGTGTTTACTTATTTCAGTTCGATTTATTCCGAATTCGAGTTTGGAAGAAGAACAAGAAGCGACAGCCTTCCTGTTCCGCCCTGTCTGTTTACTCACACTGCTTCTGCTGCCCTCGTGCTCGTGTTTATGTTATTTCTCCTCGTGCTTTGATTTTGGTCTGTTGCAGTCGCCTTTTTTTCGGATTAACTTTCGAACCGAAGTTGTAGAAAACATCATTGCTTTAAAAATGAAGAAAAGTTCGTCAACAAGATATTTCTTGGTGTTCTTCAAGCATGGCCGGAATGGTCGTCCCGAGAGTGATGTTCTTCATCAGAAACGAATTCCCGATGGCTATGGCAGTGCAGCTAAGGTGAACGACAGAGTGAGAATAAAATATAGGGATGACGATACGAAAAAATTTACTTTTTATGATGGCGTCATTCTCCAAATAGATCGTAAGTATTTTGCTCGCTGTGCACCCGACTCAACTTCGGTGTTGCAGCCTGGAGTGTTGTATACTCTAACCTTTGTCTCCTTGTGGAGTATATTTAAACCATCTCCATTTTTCAGATGACCTGAACGTTTTGCAAACTATAGATGTTGATGAAAAAGGAGAAATAGTCCCCCCTAATCAGAAACGATTTCCAGAGGAACTCCTGGCAGTTAAAAGACATCTTGCAAAACAATCTCGGGCAATTACTGTGGCTGCCAAGGAGCATCAGAGGACATTGGACACTTCGCTTTTAGGTATTTCAGTGTTCAACACTGCTTCTGCTCCAGGCTGTTCAGGAAACCTGCCACAGAATGGTGGTACTGCATCACAGCTTCAAAGTGACTCTCGTCTGGGTATGTAATCACACTCTTATGGGTAGTGTTTAGTAATGAATCCATGCACAATAATTTAAACAGCTTAATTTTTTATGTTATGTTTTCAGTAACCCCTGCAGGCTGTTCGAAAGACCTGTCGGTAAATGATGTTACAGCATCACTGCTTCCGAGTGTCTCCCATCTGGGTATGTAATCACACTCCTATTTTTAATGTTTAAAAATAAATCCATGCACGATTAGCTAAACAACTTTATTTTTTATCTTATGTTTTCAGTAACCCCTGAAGTGAAAGTGTTCTTGGAGGCACTTGTTCCAGCGGCCAGCTCTTTACATGACTCGAGCCAATGTGCACAGGTAGACTGGTTGCACAGTGTTCTCCAGAACATATTACGCTCTCTTGAGTCTGAACAAGAAAAGAATGTAACCGTGAGTACTATTTTGATGAACCCTGTCAATTCTCTGAGGTTACCTGTGTACTGCAACTCTCTCATAACGCAATTTTCAATTTCAGTTGCCAGAACACTTCCTGAAGCAAAGCAAACAGTGTGACGTAAGTCATCTTTTTTTGCAAGCCAAAACTGGCTATATAAAATTTCTTTTCTTTAGAATTAAATGCAATTCTCTTGAAATTTTAGTCCTGTAATAATTTTGTGTTGTCTGCTGACTGACAAAGCATCTTTTTCTGAACTAGATTACAATTTCAGTATTACTTTTTTGTCTTTAACAGAAGCCGCAACTCCTCCCCAATGGTGTAATTGTCTCTTTTCTTGTTCCAGACTGACCTCTTTGGCAATGGAAAGTTTTTCGTACCGTTCATGTCATACCGTGCAATTCATGCAGATGTGGAAAATAAGAAAGGCAAAAAGAAAAATAGTTGGCAGATTTACGTCTCTGAAGTCCTGAACAGGCTCTATGGCAATAGAATGCTGTACCTAACTGCAAAAGGCCAAAGACGAACTACAGGAATAGACGGAGATTTGTACAATAGTCTGTTAGGTATACATCAAATGATTTCACAATTTCTCTTGCAACACCAAAAAGTATGCTCTGTCTCCTGAATAGTTTCCTTATCCTGGGTACTTTTTTATTTCTTTCAGACTACTGTTTACACCACTTTGAGAATTTCCGCAGTTTGGAGAACCGAGTACCAGCATTCAACAGAAATATAAATGTCATCCGTCAAGGTCGGAAGAATATGTCGAAGAATAGAACTGCAGCAAGGGAAAATGGTACGGTTACTCCTTAAAAATTAGCAAAGATTCTTGACCACTACTATAATTTATTTTTGTATTGCACAGGTGCAGTTGTGGCCAAAAAGCAGTCTAAAGGCAACAAAAAACAATCTAAAGGCAACCAAAAGCAATCTAAAGGCAACCAAAAGCAATCTAAAGGCAACCAAAAGCAAGCTAAAGGTGGGGTACACTAAGTGGCATACTATCATGATTGATCTGATTAAAGATGAAGGATTGTAACAGTTCCCGCATGTTCTGTATCTTGTTTCTCAGGCAAGGGCAGTGACTCAGAATCTGATGATGGAGATGAATATGAAGACATTTCTTCTGAATCTGAGAATCACACTGGGGAACTGCGGCGAACCTCCTCAATGGGTATGTGCGGTTACTTTTTATTCTAGTGTATTTATATTATTTGGGACGATAATTATATTTCAAAGAACAGTAAGCCAATTTTAAATGTGCAGATTCTCTTTACAGTTGTTTCCATTAAATACATGGGTTTTACTAAAAAGAGAACTCATAAAGTTCAAAAATAATTTAAAAAGTAGATTTCTGCCCCTTTTAAATTTATTTGAATTGATTTATGTTACTTTTACAGATGATGAAGATTTACTAGATGAAACCCCTATACGTGAGAAACTACAGCAAAGTAAGAACACATTAGGGAAATATTGTTGAGTTTTTACTTGGGATTGCTTAATGCTCATTAAATATACTTACTAACCATGTTTTCTTTCAGAATGTCATGGAAAAAGAGTTGTGGGAGAAAATAGACAGCTGTTAGAACGTAAATTCCTTCAACCTGTTTTGGTAGGAAAAAGGAAAATTTCTGACGGGTATCTACACTCTAGCACTTCTGAAGGTAAGCAATTGACCACTTACATTTCATCTCTACAGAAACTGTTGTCATCTGTTAAATTTTGGGTCTGTGTTTGCAGGACCACATATCCAGAGCCAGGCCACAGACTTTCACCAAGGTTTTACTAAACAAATGAGGCCTGGCCAGGTTATTTCAGCAGCAGGTGAGTTGGCTGAAGGGACTTTGCAGAGCATCACTTAGTTTTCAACTTGTTCACTTGTATCTATTTATTTTCAGAGCCCAAGGGATTCAGATTAAGTAAATAATTTTATTATAGTGTTAATGTGTCCTTATTTAAACAAGTCTAGTAGGAACCAGCAACACAGTGATAAAATAATTTACTTGATCTGAAGCCCTTGGACTCCGATAAAAAGTACATGAGAACAAGTAAGAAACTTGGTGCGTAGTGGGCAGCTTTTATAGCCAAAAAGCAGTTTCAGTGGATTTGTAAATAAATTAGTTTCTGAGCTACTGTGGGTCTAGAGATGTAATCTGGGGGTAAATTTTTATTAAAAGAAATAGCTTAACACATTTGTATTATACTGCCATGAAGTTTACAGATGTTAAAATCAATGTGTACTTATAATTTTATGTGGTTTCTCACTTTTAAGGTTTAAAGTCTCTTGAGACATCTGTAAACTTTTGTTTATGGCATTCTGATATTATAAATGTGTTCAACCATTCCATTTGATGAAAAATATACCGTCATATTACATCTGTAGACCTACTGTGGCAGAGAAACTAATTTTATTGACAAATCTACCAAAAATGCTGTATAGCCAATGAAAGCCCGCTTAACTGTGATGTAAGGCCTTCCTACTGCTGATAGATACGTAGTAAACCAAATTTGTGTTTAATATTCATACTTTATTTTGTTTGCAGGCCAGTATAACCCATATTACCAACAAGCACCTCACAGGGTCCCTCACTCTTACAGTCATAGAGGAGGTAAAAAGATGCTCTACTCAAGGAAAATTATGTACGATGAAAAGTTATAGTTGTTCTCTAACTTGTTACTTTGTCCCCAGGATCTCCTGTTGTGTCAAGTGGTCAGGGTGCCCAGAGGCTGCCCCACAATTATAGTCCCAATCAAGTTTCACAATTACCAGGCAAGTTATTGATATTGTTTCATGAGCATTATAGGTGGTTGATAATTATTAGAAGATACTAATTTAATTCTTTGTACTTGCAGCCTACTATTCGCATCTACCTCAAGAAGGATCCCATGTCTATGACTACGCTCCAACAGCAGGTAAAATATTCTGTACTTATAAGCTATTACAAAAAGACATATTTCAGACGCATTCTTATTTTTTACCTTGTTTTCAGGTTCTCCTTACGTGGCGAATAGTGAGGGCATTCAGAGTGTAGAGCAGTACTCGCAAGGCAAGTTTCGTTTACTCACGAGATGTTCTTGGGCATTGTGGGACCTATATATTTACTGAGTGTCATAAACTTTGGGACATTTGAGACAATTTCTTTCATACCAGCGCATCGAATGAATTACTTCCTTGTGTTTGAGTAAAAAGGAAGCGTTTCTCCAAAGTAGCCATACACGTTGACTTTGCAATTCAATTATTTCACTTTCTTTTTCCAGATCCAATGACTATAGCTCTACAAGTTGTGAACAACCCAAATTTGATTTAAATGCATTAACTTTTGGTGCTAGTCAAGTATTTTAAATTTATTTATTTCTTTCTGCAAAATTATGTATTCTATGTTACATTATTATGATGGCCATTAGTTTTAGTTACATATAGTTATTTAAAATTGTAACAAGTCCAAATCTGACTTAAATTAATTTTTGTATCTATCTTATTTTTTTAACTGTATTTATTTCATAAAAATATGTATGCTTGTATTTAATATTGTTATGGCCATTCGTTTTTTGTTCTTTAATCGTATTTCAGATGTATTTTCATGTATATTTGCCAAATATTGTATAATTAAATGCCATGCAATTTATATTACTTTGTGTTTCTGTTGACTGTGTACCTGTACCTGACCTGAGAAGGGGGCTGTGGGAGGGGGAGGGGAGGGGGGAAGGAGCCCTACCTGGCACGAAAAACGAATCACTCGAGTCACCAACGAGTCACTGGAGTGCCAGATCGTCCGCGTGGAGTGATTCCTGTGACTAAATCCCCATCCCCAACGCACGGGCGCTCTCGGCGTCTTACCCTCAGTGACTTGTGTGACTTATTTCTTCGCCTCGGGAAGTGAGCCATTTTCCCGCGCTCTCGGGGGCGTTTTGAAAATCGAGTGGCGCGACCCCTAAACGTTGTCGCACGGACCTCGGACAACGACAGAAAATCATCGTTTAATGTCCTCTATCATTTAGAGCCCGAACCTCCTCAATTCGTCACTTCGACCTCCAATTTCGGACAGGCTAACGAGCAGCCTATATGGTGTCCAGTGCCGATTTAGCACCGAGGGGTACCCTCGAAAAGGACTTTCTAAAAGCCTAGTTATCAGCCGAAAACCACTTGAAAGTGGACTCACTAGAATTCATAAGCTTGCGCCCCACTTTCTTCGTAAACCGCACCCTGAGATTTCCATCTATAAACGCTCGGAAAAAAAGGGTTCAACGTAGCGAATCGCTTGGTTGGGTGCAACTGGGTTGCGTGTGACGGGCATGTTGGTTCTGACTATAACAGCTGCGTAACTTGTCCGAGTACAAATAATCGCTTATTGGTAGACCATGGCTGATTCCTACAACTAAGTCAGCTTCCACAGAGCAGTTGGTTGCTAAAATCAAACTGACTCAGAAGCGAGCCCGTGAAAACGGCCCCGTACACCGTGAAAAAAGTAGGTAGGTTTACAGGAAAATTTTCATTGACGCAAGTTGTAAAATTACAATTTGTAATCGTAAAAATACATGCAGTATGTATCGACTTTAAATCACTTGGCAATTAAAAAAATGTGCTGTCGTAAATTTACACCCTAAATTATAATTCGAGTTTACAATTTTTTTGTAAATTTACGACGAAACTTTTCACCGCCGTATACTGATACCTGTACATGTGGCCGAAAATATACACCACACGAATTGTACACGGATGGTGACCACTATGTACCGCGTATGTTCGGACATACACATACGCGGTACATTGGTTCACATACACCCAGAAAATGGTAGTCTTGAAACAAGGCAAAATGCTTACGAACTAATTGTTCGTAATCTTATTATCAAATAGTTTGTAATGCAAACCATTGTTCGTAAGAATCATTCAAGCCTTACAAACAATCGCTTCGCAATACAAAGAACGAAAATTGTGCGTGTGTAACGCTGCGAAGTATTTAGTTAAGCATACAGTGAACTCTCCGCTTTGTTGCAACTAAGTAGTGACTACTCGAAGCAGTTTGGTTCTTACAGTCAGAAAGTAGATCGTGCCCCAAGCTACTAGAAATTCTGGTCGTAGTAATTAACTTCTGATAACGATAACGAAATTTTTTCCCGTGCGCTAACTGAAAGATCAGCTCTGCCATGGCAATGTTTTCTGATTATTCTTTTCACTGTGACGCTACGTAACCTGCGGGCAAAACAATACCTGTCAGCTATCTATAGTAGCGAAGTTAATTTTCCTCCATGTCCACGACTCAACTGTTTCAACATTGACAACCCGTTCACTTGCAGGAGCGCCTGGTTTTGATGTCCATTCAAATCACCGTGTATTCACTCAGCCCGTTGCCGTGGATGCACGTCAGCTCTCGCGTTTCTGTTCCACCTGCTGCGAGTTGGAATTGCTACTCGGCCCACTTGGTTTGATGTCCAAACTCTTAGAAAGTGTTGTTTCTAAATAGGTCAGTTAAAAAGTATTTTTTCGTGAATTTGCGATTTTCTTTTATTATTTTTTTTGTTGGCACTTTGGGCGAGGCCCAGCTTCGAGGCAACGGGGCCCTTTTGTTTCAGAGGTTAATCGGACTGTATGCCCACTCTATTCAGCGGCATTGTAGTATTTTTCATTGTCCCAACCACCACCCCTTATTCCGTTACCTAACGCCCATCCCCCATCCCCCGTGTGGTGCCGAAGGAGCCGCTGCTCGCTGCTCCACAGAATTGTTTACGACATTCTCAGATTGCAAACTGATTTTAAATTATTGCAGCTGGACGAAGTTAAGGACGGGGGTGGGAGTTTTCTGTCGGATCTTAGGGTGAGCTGGTGAAGGACGAGGTGCGTTCGTACAGTCCCGCACGGCACAGGGTTGCACAACGTTTTATGGGGGCGGGCTAATTTTAACATGTTACATCTAAATGGGCATTGACGACGCAACTCGTGGCTTTGTCTCGGAGAGAGGGAGGGTCGTTATTATATTTAGGCATGTCGCCGCCAGCAAGCAAGGTTATACAGTAGGTTGTATAGGAACCTTCGCAATCTGACGTGACTATTTGTTCTGACACAATGGATACAAATTGCGGCTTGTGTCGCTGTTTCTGTGTTATAACCAACCAAACGAACACATGTTGAAAATGCATGATATTTTGTCCTAACAGCCCTCACACCAAAAAAACGGTGGTACGGAACAAAATTTACTTCGAGATGCCAAAAGAACGTAAAATCAGAAATTTTGAACTAAGTTTGGTTGACGGACTTACAATTTTGTTGGCTTTATTGACACTTGCTGCTATTTTGTTCCGCTGAGAAAACGGTTTTCTGAGAGCAGCATCGAGAAATCATTTGTTCTACCGTGTATGCACATTTCTCTTACTTGTAGTCCTTCTTCCATGGGTACTTTACCCGCCGGGTCTTGAGGACGCCACTCGCGGACGGGGTCGCGGACAATTCGGTTTTCCAGGAACATTTGGCGGGCGCAGCGGAGCAGGAGCTGGTCGTGCTCCCTCAGCGCGTCGCAGTAATGCTGAAAGGTCTGCCTTTTACCCTGAAAGTCTAACTCTAATTCGAGACGTCGCTATTGAAAGAGGGAAGCCACAGACGCAAATGACGGCAACTCTGCTTCCACTTGCAATAAAGCTGATGTGATACACAAGTCCTTTCGTTGACATTTCCTTTGCGCATAGTACAAGTTAAATTTGTAACATTATACGATTTCAGATCTGTACATAACCAATCGGTCTTCAGCTCCCTTTTGGCTTGTACTAAGAAATAGTGCAGGGCGTATTACTGTTAATATTGGTTATTTGTAAGAATAATGTAATACATATTAACGTAATATTTCGAGTAAAATGTGTTATCGGTGAACTTAGATTCGGGATTCTCGTTTTCATGTTCATTATTTTAAACATGTGTTGGAGTGTCACGTGTATCGTGAGGACAATAAGGCAAGGTGGCTGCCAGCTGCCCCCGCTGCCGTTGATTGGGGGGGGGGGTCACCCTCTTCCGCCCCCTCCCTTCCCCTTCGCTACACCTCGCTCAGCCAATCAATCATTCCAGAGTGAGTTATAGTGCCGAGGCACGCACCCCGAGGAGGTGAGGTGTTGGCGCTTGTGCTTATTAGATCAGCAAGGCGAACGAAGCAGCATTACTTATATATTTTACATCTTCTTCCACCAAATTTGTCATGAACGGGGTAATACCCTCAATGACTATTTCATTTGTGTGGCAATCAGTCTCGAAGCCTTCGTAACTTTTTCCAAGCTTTGGAAATTTGTAAGTCATACTCTTAACTTAAAACCGTTTAAATCAGACAATGCGTATTCACGAGAAAAAAAAAAAAAAGAACTTTATTGTGGTGGTCAACTCTGTTCGATAAAGGCTCAATTCGATAGCTAACATCGGCAATCCTATGTCCACAGCCAGGTGTTTGGTTGTCACGACCACACTATAATGAGATTGGACTCTGGTTTATTCGTACCGGGTGTAACAGTGATCACGCATAGCAGTGTTGATTGCATACTTAATATGGCCGCAGGGGGCCATATGGTCCCTTACGGGTGTCAAGAGTAGGCAAACCCGAAACACTGCTGCGTATTCACGGTTACACGCGATACATATCGCTCGGTCGTGACAACCAACTCCTGGTTGTGCGTATCAGGTTCTCAAGTCCAGCTATCGAATTCAAAACCCTACAGCAGAGTAGATCGCGCGAGATCACCACAACGGTCTCTTATTTTCCCGTCTGCGTGAAGCAGGTGTCATTCGGGCGCAATTTCAAAAGTGCTTTTTTGGAACCGATTTTGGAAAGTAAATAGCCATTGGGTACAACAAATATTTTTCCGCGGTCCCGTGTGTGCCGCTCTCGCTCGCTACCGCTGGAGCCGCATTGTGTCCCCGGCCCTGGCCTAGAGCCCTGTGTACAAGAGGACCCCGCCCCACCTGGCCCACCGCCTGCCCAGCAGCCCTTTGTGGCCCGGAGCGGGCCGAACCTGGACTCGACGGGACGGTTGTGGACCCAGTGTGTTAGGAGCTTGTTGTGGGGCGGAGGGTGAGCGAAAGCTTACCGAACCGCCGGGCCCCCGACCTCGTAATAAGTGAGGTGAACGGGGCGAGGCGGGACGGTGGCAGCACCACGCCGGTTCAGTATGTGAGTGAATATTCAGGCCGTGCCCATTTGCCTATCAAAATTTTGTCATTTATGCTCCACTCCCAAATTTAAGGCAAGCTTTGTGTTGACTTCCGATTTGTTTTGCCTCCTTGTGGCTGCGTTAGAACATTTTTCGATCTCTATTGACGCAATTTTTCGAGTTTCAGATGAGACTTCGGTACACCGTAGCATTTTGATGTTGGCGAGCCTGAGCGCGGCTCGGCGCGCGGTGTGTGGCGCGACAGGCTGGAGGAGCACAGAGATGTTTACTCTCGGCGGGCTTTGTTTACACTATGTTCAGAGCTGCACTGGTTCTGCCCGGAGCCAGGATATGAGGGAAAACACTCGAACGAAGGAAAGAAAGGGGCGTTCTAAAAATATGGACGCACGAAGGAGCAGCGAGCGAACGGAAGTGAAGTGGCGGTGGCGGATGCTCATGGGTGGCTCGGAGGGGAGGAAATTGATTTTTTTTTTGGGGGGGGGGGAGTTAGTGATT